CAAAAATGTAATTAATTCTGAAAATCTTTTCAGGACCCCACCTTGATGTTTCAGGACCCCACTTTGGGTCCCGACCCCAACTTTGGGAAACACTGGTTTAAAGAAAACTTTGAGAAAATAACCTGTTTCCTTTCAGGAGTCAGTTGAATAAACATGTCTGCTGTAGCGACACCTGTGTCACTCTTACTGATAAATTGTGTTACATTTGTCGTGGTGGTAGCTGAAAGTCATTCACACCACATTTACTGAGCAAACACAACAAAAATCATGAGAGCTCATATTTGGCTACAGTCTCAATCTTTTCTGATCATAAAATGATGTTAGTTTAAAGGAGCAGTTAAAAGAAAAGATTACTTTAGGCATTTTAGCAGAAACTTAAACTTTTTAAAGTTAAACCAGCAGGAAGTGAAGTTGTGACCTCACAGGAAGGTTAGGGTTGGTGATGTTCAACATCTGGAGCAGGTAAGATGATGAACTGTTAATAACACAGCAGCGCCCTCTGCTGGAGAAAACTCATAACAGCTGATTGTTTCAACTTAAAATATGTAACCAAACACATGTGGAAAGTGTATTTTATATATTTATAAAATCATATTCCATAAAACCAATCAAATATCTGAGATTTGAGTGATAAATTAACAAACTGTCCCTCATCCTGTTTATTATTAAAATGACTAAAACTGTTTGATCTTTATTGTTAAAGCTGTGAACTGAACCAAACAATGTTATTCTTGCAGATACTATTCAAGTATAAAACTTAAATATTTAATGGTTACACACAAATTTACTAGTTTTAACTAGTAAGCTGGTTAGTAGTTTAAACTATTCAACATCAGAAAACATCCTGTTTAAGGACACGTCTGACTGATTAAACATTGTTGTGTAAAGATTTCCATGTTGCACACATTCAGTTACAAAACCTGATGGTTTTAAAAAGCTGTGTATTTTGATTTTACTCATTTTATTATACTCATTATTTACAGGCAGCTGCCTGTTAGTATTCAACCAGCTGCACCTATAACACGTTGATGAGGACTGTGTTAAATCACTTTTTGTTTATTAATCTGTTTTTAAAAATGAAAATCAAAAAATACACAAACCTTTTAGCTCAACTTTATTTATTTTATTATTTAGCTGCTTTTTCAGCTTGTTTTCAGCAAACTTTACTGAATAAATTTAAACATTTTCTGTAAAATTTACTTTTATTTCTTCAGTCTGAACTACCTGTTGTTTTAGAAACAGCAGAAACTTATTTTAATGTTTTTACTTCTTTTTTTTAAAGGTTTTTCTCATCCCTAACCTTTATATTTTACAGTTTATGTATTTTATACATCCTGTCTCCTAATATTATCCTGAGTATAATAAAATAATGAGTATTTTTAAATAAAATAAGAAAATAAAAAGAACAAACACAAGTAGCTGTTAGCTTATGAAAGCTAATGTTATAAACAATAACACAATCATGAGAAACACACAGCTAACTAGCTAACCGTAGCTAACCAGCTAGCATCACCATGCTTTCTTACTCTGATTTATTTAAACCATGGCTAAGTGACTGTCCGTATACACACACAGCAAAGACTCAACACTTGATGCAAATAAAACTAGTTATAATGACGTTTAGTGGATTTAAATACACAATCCGTTGTGCTCCTAGCTAGCATTAGCATAGCCAGCTAACCTAAAACCCGTTTCTCTGCTTTGGAGACACCGTTTGACAGGTCGGTAAATATCCACACACACACAGCTACAAACAGCTACACACTGAGTACAAACTGACCTGAGTTAATCTGCTCCGCAGCTAAAAAAAGATTAGCTTCAATCCAAACAACACAGCAGCTAAAAGCTACTGCAGCTTTATATCGATGCTACTCTTCTGTCTGTGTGAAAATACCGCAGCTTGTATTTGAACTGTCAACACTAAATACACAGGATTTACTTCTAGCCACATGAATGTTGTCATTTAATTAGTTTTACTTACGAAACCCTGTTCTGTACCTAGCTGTGTTTCTTTCTGCAGCTCTGTTCTTCTTCGTGTAAACATTAACAGACACAACAGCGACGGTCGACTCTCTGCTGCCCCCCACTGGTCAACGGTCAACTCTCTGCTGCCCCCCACTGCTCAACGGTCAACTCTCTGCTGCCCCCCACTGCTCAAAGATATGCTGCAACTGTCAGATCCTGTGGGAATATTACAAGACCTGAAATAAGTAATTAAACATTCAATTAGGCCACACATAATGACTGCTAAAATTAATTAAACAATTGGAACAAAAACAGTATGTATGTTCTGGGCTTTATCCAGACATGTTAAATATGTAATGAAGAAACAATCACATGAAAAATGTACAAACACTGCGTTACTGTTATCACCTGCCACCCAAGGTACAAGAGGGAAACTGTTTCTGCCCATACATGTGTGTGAGTGTATTTATTTATCTGTGGTGTTTAAAAATATCCAATAATAAACTACTACAGAGAGGTTCTTATAGTAGTCAAACCACAGTCTTCAGTGACCATGATAAGATACTGTGGTCACCTACTGGAGAGCCTGTTCATTCAAAATTAAACACACAAATAAACAAACAATATTCCATCAAATAATTGCCCCTGTGAAATAAAACAAAATCAATATAATTATACATTTTAAGCATGTCTTTATATTAGAATCAGATTTATTGGCCAAGTATGTTGACACACACACACACACACACACACACACACACACACACACACACACACACACACACACACACACACA